GGTAGGGGAACTGGAACGGGTCGAATGTGGGCGGCATATGATGGCCGACCAGCTCCACCAAACAGCGACCTGAGTCCACTCTGACATCCTGTCCAATTTAATGCTGCAAGGCTAAAAGATTGAATTATTTGTTAAACCAGAGCCAAAGTATAACTTCACATGATGCTTCACATTCCTCATTTTAGGGAAGAAAGTGCAACTTGTAAGAGCAACTTTATTCTTGCAATATTAGGACTTTATTCTCGTAACTTTATCACTTTATTCTCATAATATTAAGGTTTTATTCTCGGAAAAAAAAAAAAATACAAATCTCTAGCCTGGCCCTAAAACTTTGTTGTATGTACACACCCAAGATCTTTGGAGTAAAATAATCGCCACTGCATTTGTCCAACACCACTGTAACATTTTCACTTTAGGCCAAACCTTCATCCACTGGGACTAAAGTTAATTTGCGGATGAACATGCCAACCCGCCCTCTATCCCTGTAGCAAAGGAGCGTTAGCATATGGTGCTGAGCCCTTAACTAATATGTCCACTGAAAACAAAAGAATGGATACAAAGATTAGATGGAGGACATGATGGAAAAAATACATGAACAGACATGAATGAAAAACTGAGGGGAAAGAAATGTGAGCGGCAGCGACAAAGAATAGCTAAAGCTAGGGATGAACAGACATGGCCTAATTGTTTGACAGTTTTCCAGGGGGTTCTTTTTTTATTTTTCAATTTTATTTTATTTTATTTGTATGCTTAAAGGGATCCCACATGAAACAATGACTCAGTGTTTGCAGCATCACACAGTGATTCCCAACTGGGAGTACGCGTAACAATAGTGGTCCGCCAGTGCATTGGAAGGGGTCCATGAAAATATTTGATGTCTTAGGTTGTAAAATAAAATGGGGATCGGTTTTAATTTGTGAGGACCCAATAGAAAAATGAAACAGCTTTTTTATCAACCTAAAAGTAAATTTTTCTTGTTGCTGTTTTTCACACTGAGCTATCGGCGCTCATCAAAGCAGCTCAGGTGTCTTGATGAAAACAGCTAATTAAGTCAGTCTGACCATGATTATTGTTCTGAATTCTGTTCCAAATTCATCGAGTTTAAATGTGATTATAGGGGAGTTACTCAGAGGAGCTCCAGTTTTAAATATACAGGTTTTTAATATGATTTAATTTCGTATCTTGTTCGATTGCCTGCTTCTAACTTCTAGGGAACATATTTATTTTTTTATTTGAGATGGAGTGAATAAAATATCTAATAATTACATTTTCAGTATATCTCATTATCCATGAGATAACAAACAAATATGACACAAAGACATACATCTG